AAAATAAGAAATCAGGAAGGGGGCAAACACTTTTTCACACAACTGTATATATATACTGTATATCTTGCATCCCATATCTACTGTTCATACTGTCTAAATTGTTATACTACTTATTCTGTTGTCTGTTCTGTTGTCTATTCTGTTGTCTGTTCTGTTTATTATGTTGTCTGTTCTGTTTATTATGTTGTCTGTTCTGTTTGTTCTGTTGTCTGTCCTGTTGTCTGTTCTGTTGTCTGTTCTCTCTGTTATGTTGTCTGTTCTGTTGTCTATTATGGTGTATATTATGTCTGTTCTGTTGTCTGTTCTGTTGTCTATTCTGGTGTATGTTCTGTTGTCTATTCTGGTGTCTGTTCCGTTGTCTGTTCCGGTGTCTGTTCTGTTGTCTGTTCTGTTGTCTGTCCTGTTTGTCCTGTTGTCTGTCCTGTTGTCTGTTATGTTGTCTATACTGTTGTCTGGTCTGTTGGCTGTACTGTTGGCTGTACTGTTGGCTGTTCTGTTGTCTATGCTGGTGTCTGTTCTGTTGTCTGTTCTGTTGTCTGTTCCGTTGTCTGTTCCGTTGTCTGTTCCGTTGTCTATTCTGGTGTCTGTTCTGTTGTCTATGCTGTTGTCTATTCCGTTGTTTGTTCCGTTGTTATTGCTGTTGTCTGTTCTGTTGTCTATTCTGGTGTCTGTTCTGTTGTCTGTTCTGTTTGTTCTGTTGTCTATTCTGTTTGTTCTGTTGTCTATGCTATTGTCTGTTCTGTTGTCTATGCTATTGTCTGTTATGTTGTCTGTTCCGTTGTCCTAGGAGTTGTACTCTGTGCAATGACAATAAAGTTGAATCTGATTATATATGACATCACTTCCTGTGATTTCCCTATTCTTTGTCTGTCAGGTGAAGAAGGTGAACAAGTGGAGCTGTAAACTGTGTGGAGAGAAACAGTCACTGCTGAAGGTTCGAATAAATATATCTTATATATATATATGTTAGTGCTGGGCAACGATTAAAATATTTAATCGCGATTAATCGCATGGAATTTTTGCGATTAATCGCATTGTTATGGCAAAGTTCAATAATGAATTCAAAAGTAGTGTATTGCGCACTTTTATTTTAAAGTACTGCTATATGAACAAAAGGGCAATAACATTTGGTTCACGAGATGCAGGTAGCATGTTTTATACTTAATGTGAATATAATTCATACTTTGTTGGCATCTTATTCTGAAAACCGGATGTTTGTCTGAAGAAACCGGATGTTGTCTCACGTTAATCTTTCCGCTAACTTTCAAAGTCCTTTGCTCGCTCCCGATCTGTGCCGTTTAAATGCGTTTACCGTGAATTTCAGCATATAGGTGCACTAACATGTCAGTGTCTGCTGAGTTGACCACGGAGATCATTTTTTTTTTCCCATCTTAAAAAAGGCTCAAGGACATACACACACGTTCACACACACACACACACACATACATACATACATACATACATACATACATACATACATATATACACAACTGACTATAGGATGTTTGCTGCCTTTTATCCCACTGTTCTTGTCATCCTCTTGTTGTTATGTATATGTATTGTCTCTTGTCTTTAAAAAAATAAAAATTATAATAAATTTTAAAAATGCATTAACGCGCGATAAAATAATTGTTGGCGTTAATTGATGAATGCGTTAACGCGAAATTAACGTGTTAACTTGCCCAGCACTAATATATGTATATATTTATATATAAATATCAAGCAGGTACAGACTCACCTGGGGAAGGGTGAGTATGACCAGTGATGCTACGCTGTAATTGGTCCGTCTGCATTCTAAGGGCGGGGCTTAGTGAAGGGTCAGGGTTCAGGGGTGTCACCTGACGCTCTGTGTGCTGATTGGTCGACAGGAGTTTGGGCGGGGCTCCGGAGCCGACTGCAGACGTCATGTTCAGAAACTTAACGCCTCGAGAGGAGCGATGATGGAGGAGCAGGACACCTGGTCTCTAAGGTAACACACCTGTCCTGCAATACTCGGCACTCTTCACCCGTTTGTCCAGGTGTCCTCACCCGTTTGTCCAGTTGTCCTCACCCGTTTGTCCAGGTGTCCTCACCCGTTTGTCCAGGTGTCCTCACCTGTTTAACTAGGTGTCCTCACCCGTTTGTCCAGTTGTCCTCACCCGTTTGTCCAGGTGTCCTCAACGGTTTGTCCAGGTGTCCTCACCTGTTACTGTCTCTTGCTTTAATATGAGCTGTAATGGTTGTTGTTAACAGGAAGCAGGTGGATGCAGACAGAGAGGATGTACCTGAGGAACACGACCAGGTGACCACACACACACACACACACTGGTCTTAAGTTAATATTAATCATATTTAGAAATATGAACTCTTTTCCTCTCTAACTGTCTCCAGATGAGGCCAACTGGATCGAGCCTCTGGAGCAAATACCTGGACACACCTGAGGAGGTGGAGCCAGAGGAGGAGGAGAATGTCTTGCTGGACAGGCAACAGCTCCATGGCAACAACATGACTGACAGGTGTGATACCTACCTGTTAGTCAGCAGAATGTTTCTACAATACACCTGTAGTGACGGACAGGTGTAACGTAGAGATCTGCCCAGAGACTAAACACCATAAACCTCCTCAGTGAGGAGGGATCATAATCTATAAACTCATATCTCATATTCATAAACTGCTTTATTATCATTCTACAAACTTTAAAGACACAAGTTAAATATGAAATGTGTTCTAAAGAAACAAAGGTTTAAACGTTTTGATTAAGCTGATACATATTTACTCAAATGAAGATTTTTAACACTTCCTGTTTCTAAACAATCTAAAGATGAATTGTTCTTCTTTGTTTAATCTCTGACATTTAAACAGTGTTTTTATTAATTAACTATTTGTGATTACGTCATTTTATGAGCTCGACTTTAGATATTTTTCTTTTGCCTAAAAATACAATCTCAGATTTCACTTTAAGTTTACATTTTAATGCAACAAAAGAATGATTAACTTCACTAAATTCAAGAACTCATAAAATAGTCAGATGCTCAAAAGGAGAAAAGAGGAATTCAGGTATAAAAATGTTTATTTTTAGTTAAAATTATAATTATGAAGAGATAAAAAAATATTTTGTTTTTATATCAATGATTCTCAAAAGTTTAATTATGAATCCTGAAATCTGATTTTAAAAGGTCGGTGATGTTTAACAGGAAGAGGAAGAGAATAAAGGGACGAACAGATGAAGGAAGACCAGACAAGTGGACACCTGAACAGGTAACATGATGACATCACAACATTTATCAACACGATGTTTTACCTGAGTCACACTTAATGTAATATAGAATATAATAATTTATATATAGTATTATAATCTCTTATCAATGCTGGTGCTGTTAGCCAACTCAGAAAAGATGTTTAGTTTTAGTCATATACTGGCTCCATAAATCGTTTTATAAAAAGTCATAGTATAGTGTGTCGTAAAAAGTTAGTTGTCTGCTGTTAAATCCTTCTGATTTCTTTCCACTGCAGACAAATTGGTCCATTCGGATGATGAAACCTGGTAAGACCACTAGTCTGAGAAACAAGAGTCCTCCCAGTGAAAACCACACTAGAACCAAGAGTCTGAACCACACCAGCCCTCCCAGAAAGAGCATTAATCCTCCCAGTGTGAGTTCTGGTGCAGTCTCCAGATGGGCTTGTTTCCTCCGGCCTGACTTTCAGGAGGAGGGAGAGGAGCCTTCTGTCAGTGGAAGGAGTCAGTCAGTGGGCGGAGCTGCCTCCCTGTCCTGTAATGACATCATCAGTCAGGCCAGAGCCACACTTCCTGTTTCCTCCATGTTTGAGAACGGAGAGAACTTCAGCTTCGACGACTTCTAAACAAACACTGAACCATTGATTATCAGAAAAGCCTCGAATTCATTCTGTCGATTGATCAACCAGCTGTTTCAGCTTTATATGTTATGGAATATATTGATCCATCCACTGTGTTAAAAAACGAGGTAGTTCACCACTGTTATTGTTAAGCCACAGAAAACACGTTGTGTATATTTTACTGTAAATGTATTTTATTATAAGACCACAGATTCTGTTCATGTTTTTACTGTTCAGATTATTAATAAACAGCAACACAATGTTGACCAATAACCAGTGTGAATAGTCGTGGTATAGTACGACAGAAAGTTAAAAAGAAAGTCAGAGTTTGGTGTGTCGAAAAAAGTAATAGTGCCCTGACTGAAAAGCATCTGCTAAATGACTGTAATGTAATGTAGTGTTATATTGGTCTTTGTTTGAAGAGGAACAGAACGCACCAGACTCTTTTATCAGGAAAGATTTCCTGTATTCGGCCAATCATCATGATCCTTGTGGTGCTGTGATCCACAAATACAACTCCAGACATGATGCTTCTTCTTCCCTTAGTCAATAGATACTCATGAAGAGACCGATGAGATATTGGACCTCTTTCCATCTCCTCACGTATAGATCTCTCTTTTCAGAAGTGTTCAGGGATGTTTTATGTCCTCTGGCATTGATGCTTTATTGATTTGTTCTTCTTCTACAATCAGATCCAGTTTGTAGATGGTGCTACACTTTTGTATTTCTGGATTGATAGATGCTTATTGATATCTCAGCTTCTAAGAAATCATCCAGTGAATCTTCATCCAACAATGGAAATCCATTAGCAATAGTATGTGCAGCTCCAACTGGTTTCTCTTTTCAAGTTTCAGCAGACTCTGGCTTTCCACAAACTTATTTTCATTCTTGACATTACATTGCAGTCATTTAGCAGATTCTCTCACATTTCTACACCGTAGGCACAGCTACGGGAGCAGTTTTGGGGTTAAGTGTCTTGCTCAAGGACACATCGACATGCGACAAGCAGAGCCAGAGCCGGGGATCGAACCGCTGATCTTCTGATTGAAGGACGGCCCTGCTCTCCACTTGCCACAGTCGCCCACATCCCTTCTTGGTCTTTAGAGGTTGTCTCATTGGTTCTTCTATCCTGCCAACAATAGTCCTGTTTACAGTAACTGCAGAGTAGCCACTCCCAATCTGCTTGTCATTGTTTCAAGACTTGGCATGAGTGATCCAATACCTTTCTGTCAACCAGGAGAGGATGTCGTTTTATGTTTATGCATATGTTTGAGAATGAACATGGACATGTGCTGATCTTTGACAGGATGATTGGGTGCTTGCACTCTTTGCAGACTCTCAGCTTCAGCTTAAATGGAACTACTGCTTTTAAAAGTTGTTCAGACAAAGGTGCAAACATCTCACTGTTAGGTCTTTCCTTTTGTCACAACTGGAACTGGTAGGTCTAAATCACTGTTTTGCCTTTTCTTACTTTCACCTGAACTGGAAGAATTGATAGTGTTATAGCTACCTGCCCGTTTGGCTTCCATTTGACTGTAAACCATATTATTCATGAAATCAACTTACTGCTTCCTCTGCTGTGTGCATTTGTGTCCAGTTCTTGTTTTCACTGAAATACCTAATAACCAGCTTCATGATCCCATCATCAGGAGACTGTAGACAAACACAGGCAGTCTGACGATATATATATATATGTAAAGGCGTATTTATCTGTTTGTTTGATATATATATCTTTTGAATCTTGAATATATCAGCAGACAGGCGACATGCGCTGTAATCCTGTAAATGTCCCCACTGCGGGACTAATAAAGGATTATTATATTTTTATCTTATATGCAGTGTCGCGGTGCAGACTGAGGAGGACAGCAGTGCGTAAACTCTGCGTCCAGACACATTAAAGAAGAAGAAGACCGGAAGTGACTTACATATTTCCGGGGCGCGCTGTTCGTTAAAGCGTCGTGTCGGAGTTCTGAGTTAGTTTTGTTTTATAATTTCCTATTTGGAGATAAAACATGTACGACCAGGACGAAGGTGAGCTGTTTAAAATGTGCTAACACATATTCTAACGTCGGTTAGCCTCCCTCACCGACATGCTAACAGCAGATGCTGTATGAATGCTACCTTTGTTTAGCTAACGCTAGCAGGCTAACATGCTAATCAGAGGCTGTTGTGATTAATACTTGTACAGAAACGAATTAAAGCATAAACAGTTACAATCATTTACTTCCGTAAAAGTATCAAAGCTACTTTATAAAATGGTTAAATAATAAGTAAAGTACTGAAGTACAATCGGTACAATATATATTTAATAACGACATACATCACGATGTAGAAGATATATATCTTCTAAATATATATAGATCGATCTATATATATATATATATATAGATCGATCTATATATAT